CTATCAAAGTAGGTAGACCTAGATATAGGGGTGGGCATCGGTTCGGTTTGGTTCAACCCGAACCGAACAGCAGCATACCGGTACCCCTATTACTCCCAATGGGCAAACCGATTTCGAACCGAACTGTATTTCGGTTTGGGCTGGCCAAACCTAAATATAGTTGGTTCGGAATCGGAAAACCCGACAAACCGAGCTCTGGTAGATTTGGAACTCATCAGTCTCCGGCCGACTGGACTTCGTCCTCCTTCGCTTTCCGCCACCGGCCACTTTTCTTTACCCGAGTACTTGTTTCAGCAGCCGACACAAATTATGCAACGACGAGAGATGAGAGTTGGCGAGGGCGGGAGATGAGAGAGGCGCGACGAGAGATGAGAGTCGGCGAGGACGGGAGATAGGAGAGGGTGTTGTGTCGAGATGACAGAGAAAGCAGAAGTGGAAGGACTGTTGGGGAGTGGGGGTGGTGGCTGCGCAGAGAGAGGGGGGAAGGAAGGAGAAGAAAGCAGGGGTGGGGTGGGCTAGGGGAGTTAGGGTTAGCAAGTGGGGAGTGTTTATTAAGCCTAATATGTGGATTGGGCCAGTTTATGAGGGTCCAGAGATTATTAGGATGGGATGTGAGGGCCCAGGGGGATTGGTTTGGGCCAAGGGAGTGGGCTGAATCTATATGTTAGGGTTTCGATTCGGAATTCGAAATTCCGGTTCGGTCGGCAAGACCCTGTATTCCGAATTGGCAGGTTTCCCCTTCCGAATTTCGATCCAAATAGCACTAAATTCGGTTCCGGTCAGTTCGGGTTTGGGTCGGTTCGGCTCGGAAATGCAAACCCGAACCGGATGCCCACCCCTACCTAGATATTTATCTTGGATTCCCATAGCCCCTACACACATAATCTGAACCAAGAACTCCTGATCTGGCAACAAGATATTTTTACTTTGAATTAACTTTATAATACAATAGTATGTGAAAAATGGAACGCTAAAAATTAAAGTAGCCACCAAAATCAAATACGTACAGTCTAAACATTTTTATATGAGATTTTTTTTAGTTTATAAAACACTATAATCGAGAGAGTGGAGAATAATCAATTCATTAAAAGTAAACACTTTTAGTAACTTTTTTCTGTATATTTTTGCTTTTGTGTGAAAGAAAATACAAGATCATATTTAATTTTCATATTCCACCACTAGTCGTGAAATATGAAGTCGCAACTCCATGACACAAAAATTGAATACCAAACTCGAAAAGAAAAGATCTCCATGTTGAGTAAGATCGATATACAAAATTGTATCTGCACGAATAACACAATTGTATATCACTATAATCTAGCTACGAACGACAAATACGTTCCTGGCGGTCTCAACTCCATACTTATAAAGATGGATTTTTGCGGGTGACCACACCCAACCCGCATCAACCCACAGTGGGTAGTGGTAACCCACTAACCACTCAAGTGCGAGGTGTGGATAGCATATTTGTAAATTTATTGGTGTGGGTACCACAAAATGTGGGGCGGATAACCACAACCAGCCCAATTTTCACTAGGAGTGGGAAACGGTGCGGTCTGGACCAAACCATAGACACGGTCTGTGGTCTAGTCTGAGAGGCTGGAACATAAACCATGGACCAGACCATATACTATTCGGTCCATACCAGACCAAGCATGTGCGGTGCGGTCCGGTACGGGACCAGACAAACCATGTTAAAAATATTCACTCTTATTCCGTCCTCCAACCCTTCGTCGATATCTGCAAAAATAAAAATTTCAGCGACCAATATGCTAGTGAAACAAAAATTTAGTGACCAGAATTAAAATGAGAAGAAATATATGAGGAGAGAAGTGGGCTTTTTCAATTTTCAAACTCTCTCTAGTCTCCGCGGCTCTTATCTCGTATCTATTAAAAAAACACACATCAAATAGCCTTGTTTCCCTCTTCCTCTTTGTGCTACCGCTTCTCTCCCTCTCTCGGATGATCCGAAGGTTCTCGCGGTCGATCACCTTCGTGATGACGTCGAGGTCGTTTTGAACCACTAAGATAGTCGTTTATCTCTCAATAATTTTTCTTATCTCATTAAGGTGAATGAATTTCTCTAGTGTTTTGTTTTATCGACTCCATAGTCTAGACATTGTTGGTGAATATTATTTATGAATCTTTCAGGTTTTTGTGTGATTCTTTGATAATGAGATAATGCATAAGCGATCATTTGGAAATCTGTTGGCTCTCAACTTTACGAAGAATCAATTAGCTTTGTTCTTTAAATACATAAATAAATGTAGATTTAATTTAGTGTTATTTTGGTCTGAGTTAGTAGGTAATGTGTCACGGTCTGTTGCGATTTACTGCGGTAGACCGCGGTCCAGATTACTTCAGGCCATATACTAAAGGAGGAGACCGCAAACCAAACCAAACCATAACTCTGTTCTCACGGTCCAGACCAAACCATACGACACGATCTAGACCGTGGTTCCCCATACGGGTTGGTCTAAATTTCGAGCCCTAACTTCCACCCCTAGACAGAACACAACGATAGAAACAGATTCAACTACTTTGGGCAAATGAGGCGAAGCCCAAATACTTGACAAGCGGTAGGGATGGCAATGGGTCGGGTTTTGCCAAACCCAAACCCATGGGTTTATCTTTGAAAAAAATTCGGGGTAAAACCCAATGGGTTTGAAAAACTCAAACCCAACCCAACCCGTTGGGTATCCGCGGGTTCATGGGTACCCACGGGTTTTGTCGTAAAATATTTACAATTACAAGTTCTTATCAAAATTAAAGTCAAATATCAATCTCTCAATACAAATTATCCATATATAAAACACCATTCTAGAAAATTCAAGCAAATCACAAATTAACTATACAAATGGTTCAACACCAATCTAAAAAAGTCAAGAAAATTGAAGCAAATCACAAATTATCCATAAATAACATGTTTAATTGAAAGCTTCTTTCTTTCAATTAAGAGGTCGTTTGGCTGTGGTAATTGAAAAACGTGAAAATTAGAGTAAATTTCCATGATTTTCAATTTCCAGTAATTATCACTTGGAGATTGTTAACATTTCCATGTTTGGCTAGGTCTTTTGAGTGTGGGAATGTGGAAGTGGTTTTTGTGGTGCTAAACAAACAAATACCAAACTGCCCCTTGTGGAAGGATATATTAGGAACCTCTTGTGTCCATTATTGCGGGTTCTTCTTCTTTCCCCAACAGCGAACAACCTTCCCAATTTCAGCCAGAGTAAAGGTTTCCTCTCCCCTCCTAATAAAGTTCATCTTCTTTCAAAGCTTCTCACAGTAAAGGCTTCCTCATAGAAAAGTGAAGGCAAATCTCATGGCAGCTACAAACAGAAGGAAGGAGAAGATCTGCGGCTGTGGGTTCATAGCAGCAGTTCGGGTTTCGCACACCCCAACAAACCCAAATCGCAAATTCTACTCTTGCCCATTGTTCCCATCAAAGGTCAGTACTGGTTTTATTGAAGGTAGATGACAAAGCATAATTCAATAATGTTTTCCTGAATTAGGTCAGAACTGGTTGTGTGCGTGAGGAGGAACTAAGAATGGCTTCTATTATTTCAGGATGAATGTGGTTTGTTTCAGTGGTGCGATGGTCATGACAAATACGACAGGGACGGGTATCTCTGTAAGTTGTTAGCAAATTTGGAAATTAAACATGCTGCGCTGAAGGAAGAGAACCGATCTCTTGTTATGCAACTAAATGGTGAGGTGAATGGTTCAAGTAGTTCTAGCAGCTCTCCAGTGAACTCTAACAGCCTGGCAGCAATGGAAAAAAGACTGTACCGCCTGGAGAAAATGCTTGGCATGTATGATTGAGAAGTACTCCATGATGTTAAGTGGTTGTGTTTCCTTCCTCTGGAAATTGTATTTTGTTCCTTTGTGAGATGTGTAATCTTTAGTGAATCTAAACTGGAATGTATTCAGACTGGTTTGTTGCTAATGAAATGGTTTTTATGTTAAAACAACCGAGATTGTTTTACTTATTGTTTGTGTTAAATGTCATTGCTATTAAAGAACAAGACTCATAGGTAAGTGTAGCATAACAAAATTGCTTCTAAGTTAATGCAGACAAGTTTGAGACAAGAGAAGTGTTGTTGCATGATAATTTGTGCATAATAGCAAAAGAACAAGGTTGCTAAGATAGTGCAGCAAAGCTGTTGAGTTTGTACAAAATAGCAACTGTCTTGGTATGCAAAGACTGTCATTGCAGTTGCTGCACAATGACAGATGGACAAAAAAGAGAAACATATCCTTGCAAACCAGACAACCTACTGATACATACTACTAATAATACTAATAGCTGGCACCATGTGTTCAGTTCTCCAGCAAATCAAACACGAGGGTGAGTTTGTCCTCGTCTTCCATAGCATAGAAACATTTCAAGTCGCCCAGATCCTTGGTAAGCCTCCTATGTGCCATCACCATTTGAGACCTTGTGAGACCATCTACCTTTTTCAAAGCATCCATGAGATTGTCCCTCATACTAATATGCAGCTCACTTTCCCCCATGGCCCTAGCAATCGTGTCCACTGATTCTCGTATAAGTGGTCTTATCTCCTTGAATTCATTAGCCATGTCACCTATGTGATCATCTGTGGCTGTTTTTTTCTTTTTCTGAGATGGACCTCCTACTTTAGTTGTTGGAACTGAGGCTGGTTGCTTCCTCTTCCCACGAGCAGAAGCTTCAACTCCCTCATTGATCATCTCAAACATTGCCTCCTCCACCACTGGGTTGTTCATTTGACTAACAGGAATGGCAGGTTCACACTCATCCTCTGAGCTATTAGAACTATTGCCATCAACACCTTGGAACCCCATCTCTCCATCAGCTCTTCCTTTCCCAAAGACAGGTATCAGATCCCAAAATTGGGGGAAAGGGGTGTCCCTGTAGTTCTTGAATGTAGGATGAGTCTGCATCATAATAAATGACCATAAAACAACCCTGTCAACATTATAAATGACCATAAAACAACCCTACCATAATAAATGTACAACTAACAAAACCTTAATAAACACACAACTACCTTCACATAGTTCTTCCAAGTCTCATCTTCCACGATGACATGGTTGTCCTCTGTATGCCACCCCCACCCACTTTCCTTCTTCATCGTCATTGTTGCATGGAACCAATCCTTGAGTTTCCTTATCCTTGTCTGGATAGTTGGCCTAGCCTTCACACCACAACCAGGTACTTTACTTTCCATCATTCTTTCCAACTCCTTGTAAACACCATTCTTGCACTGCCCATCTTCTATTAGACCTTGCTCAACTAACTCACACAAGCACTCCACAAATGGTGTGTCATGCTTTGGATCCCAGTGATTGTACTCACGAGAAGAGTCACCTCCATCATCTACAACCTTCTTTCTTCTTCCCATCCTTGCACTTCCTGTCAGTAACAAACAACCTTTTATGTGAAATGCACAAACAACCTGTTAAGGATTAGTTTGCAGCCTTTAAACAACCTTTGAAAACTAAACTTACAGCCCTTAAACTACTATCAAGTGAAAACATCCCATTGAGATACATCATAGTAAATGCATACATATACAGCAGAGTTAGTGCACACAAATTACATAATAGTTGAATATGCCACAATGAGTACATTAACGCATAGAGATACATCATAGTAAATGCATACATACTCAAAAGCTGCAACATCATAGTAAATGCAAACTAATAGGCTATAACAGTTGAACCTAACTACCAATCCCTCTCAAACAGCCGACTGAATAGGTTTATGGGGCCACTTTTCCCACATCTCCTTGGCTAAGTCATCCCTAAATCGAGTCCATGTTGGGCAAGAATGTATATCAGAGGCATTGATGGTCTCCACTTCAGCTGCTGCAAATTGCTCAGGTTCTACATCTTGGTATTCCCTCTCAAATATGTCTGCCCCACTTTCTCGCTTGATGAAGTTATGAATAATGTAACACGCAACTACTATTCGTGCCATCTCATGTGGAGAGAACCAGCTGCAATCTCTAAGAATAGCCCATCTCATTTTCAAGATCCCAAAAACGCGTTCTACGACATTCCTAGCTCCAGCATGCTTCATATTGTAGTACTCCTCCGCTATAACTGGCCGCCTTGGTCCCCACAACTTGAGATGATATCTTTGCCCATGGTATGGGGTTAAAAATCCCGTACTATTCCCATAGCCACCATCACACAGATAGTAACATCCTTCGGGCACTGTTAACCCATTGGGTCTTGTAATGGCATCTCGAAGCACCCTTGCATCATGGGCAGAACCCTCCCAACCCGAGAGACAGTAAATAAACTCCAAGTTAGGAGTGCAAACGCCTAGCACATTCATGGTAAGATGGTTGGTCCTATCTCGAAACCTAGCTTGATCCCGCCTCAAAGGTCGAACCAACACATGAGTTCCATCTAAAGCGCCGAGGCAGTTCTACGAAAAAAACAAATTTGGTGTATAAGATGAAATCTCATGACACATTCTCAGGAATGTACAACAAAAGGCTAAGATAGATATTGACCTTAAAATGTTTCCATCTATTGTCCTTGCAATTTTCATCAATGGGGACGGGAGTCTTCATCAATACATTGTTAAGTCTAATGACATCCCTCAATACCCGATGAATTGATCTCGAGATGGTCTCCCCTGATCGACGTAGGTTAATAGCCACTGTCCTATTCTTCTCATTGTGTGAAATGGTGCACAGAAAGGCATATACCATCTCATCTATGTCTACATCCTTAGTTCTTTTCAGCCGTCCCTCAACAACAAGGAGCTCACAAAACTTATTGAATAAATTACAGTTCATTCTAACTCTGGAAAAGCAGACAGTATCATTTGTTCTAATCCTCTGTGTTAGATGTCTCTGTCTGTCATAGTGCCTTACACTATAGCGCTCCATTGGTTGCCTAACAAGCCTACGGTTTGAGTGTCTTTCTTGTAGAAGCTGGGCTAGTTGCATTCCTAGAGTGACGTAAATGAAAAGAAGGTTCATGAATGAGCTAATAGCTGCAATCACTTGTCGTCTACGCGTCGGATTCAGTGTGGATAGTCTCGACATCCTTGATAATGATAACAAAATAAATTCAATCAACTAACCAACACCAACATATCAACAGGTCAGACAAATCAATTATCTCAAACCTAAGCAGACTAGTTCTGTATACCTTCAGCTGAAGAGAAAAGGGTATACAGAACCCTAATTATTTACCAAAACAGAACCACCTAATTTTAACTACGAACCCAGCAATAACGAGAAAGAACCTGATGATGCGTGATGATTTCCTCTCGACTCCTGCTTGCTGGCGCTATTGGGAGGCTAGACTTGGTTGGTGAGAACCCTTCTTGTCTCCTTCTTTGGTAATCCTCTGGAACAGAAAAAAGAAAAGAGCAAGATATGTGGTGAGGAAGAAGGATAACGTGTAAAGTGGAGTATAAAAGACAAGAGGGGCAAGTTTGGATTTCCAATAAAATAACAGGGATAGAAATGGAACCAAAATTTGTATAAACGTGGGAAAGTGAAATACAAGGGGGGGTGGGCCGGTTTTCCAATTTCCACATACGTGGGAATGTGACCAAATTCCTTGGGCCCAATTTCCACACACTTTTAGCTATCCAAACATGGAATTTCAGCATGAATACAACATTATGTGGTAATTTGGCCTAATTCCCACACTCAATTACCACAGCCAAACGACCTCTAAGTTTCTTTACTCTCCACTCCATAACATCAACTTCATTCTACACAATTAAATAGAAAAAATTAGACATGTCTCCACAAATATAAATAAGATTAGTTGTTTAGATTACTAAATAGGCAAAATACATCTGGATAGCCATAACTTTGCACTTTGTGACAATAATAGCCAGATTTTGAAAAATACACTAAAATAGCCAGATTTTGAAAACATATTTGACAAATTTAGCCATTTTCTTTAAAAACTTTAACACCGTTAGTGATTCTGTCAATAACACTAACCTGATGCTGATGTGGATGCCACCTCAACTCTGCTTAAACTGGACACGACGCCAAGTCATATTTTAATTAAAAAATATTTTTTGTGGGGCCCTTATGTTCTTCGTTATCTCTACAAAATCAAAACAAAACCAAATCCTCCGGCATCCCCATCACAATTTAAAGCTCCGACCACCACCCACCGCCGCCGACACACAATTCCCCGATAGCCAAACACAAATATGGGAGTAGTAAGGGAGTGGGTGAGTTATAAGGGCTGTGTCACTTGGTTAATTTAATAAAGAAAGGATAGAAAGATCTAGATCTAGAAATCAAAGAGAAAGAGATTGGCCGGACTGATACAAGATGTGGAGGGATTTTCTCTCGCGGTACACTGTTGTGCGGAGGGATGTGGTGGGATTGAGGTGGAGTAGAAGAAGAGAAGTTGAGGTGGGTGATGAGGGAAGCCGGTGGAGGAGATACGTGAGGTGGACTGGCCGATGCTGGAGAACTTATTGCGCCGCCGCCCTCAAATCCCTAACACCGATAAACATGATTTTTGTCGGCGATTTCAACTTCCTCTTCAAATCTTCCCAATTCGTCGACCGAGGGAGAGGCATACATTGGGTTTTGTCAGCGATCTGGTTTCCTTCGCGTGAGTAGCTGTCGATTGGGGCGTCATGGCCCAGGTCGGGATATCAAAATCCAACTCCAAACCAGGGCCATTCGAGCTCCAAACCAGGGCCATTCGAGTGGTGGCGGATTGTTAACTGAAGTGGCGTTGGCCGTGGTTGGGACATCAACAGCGGCAGAGATGGCAGTTTGTTATCGATGCTTTGACAGATCTGGAAAGTGGAGCGAGAGACGAAGCGGCGCGATGGAGGCTGTGTCGAGACCGATGCAGTTGTGGGCTTTGGAGATGAGTGCTATGGAGTTGATCGGAAAACGGAAGGCGGAAAGAAGGCAAAGCTTGCTCCCGCTCCTCCTCATCCTTCGACTTCGTCGATGACTCCAATGGAGATGAAGAAACGAGAAATAATCAACAGGGGAAGGGGAAGGTTTAGAGAGGAAGACTTAGATTTTGTTTTATTTTATTTATTTTAATTTACAATAAGAAAATAGCAATTTCCACCTGGTATTGATTTTGACGAAAAATGCCACATCACCGAAAAACGTTAGTCTGGTCAACATCTTTATAATTCCGTTAATGTTATGGAAGGAATGGCTATTTTAGTGTATTTTTTAAAATCTGGCTATCATTGTCACAAAGTGCAAAGTTATGGCTATACAAGTGTATTTTGCCTACTAAATATACCGAAAAAATTAATTATATGGATGAGCGAGTACCCACGGGCCGGGTTTACCTAAACCCAAACCCAACCCAACCCGGTGAATAGTGAACGTGTTTAAACCCAAACCCGGCCCAAAATCCATCAACCGGATTTTACCTGCGTTCACCGGGTTGGATCGAGTGGGTACTCGTGGGTTCGGGTTTTGTTGTCATCTCTAACAAGCGGGCCACTGCTGCCGAGTTTGAACAATTTTCGTATTACTATTATATTATGTTTGGCGCGCACAGAAGGTTCGGTCGGTCTGCTGTTCCCACAAAGTTCCATTTGAGAAAATTATTGATTTCTTTATGAAAATTAATTGACGCATGAAAATTCCCTTTTGCTTTCGTAAATCAGGTAATTAACGATAATTAAATTTTTGATGAGCCCGGCGATCAAACTCTCCCGTTCTTGCAAACAAACTCTTCCACCTGCTGCTTCCATGCGAAATGGCTCCAATCGACGAACTTTGAAATCACATCTTCTCCCCAGTTTTCTCAGTGTCTGTGTGTGTGTTGTCCCCCCTCTTTCCCACGGTATCGCATCCACATTTTCCCGATCAAGCGCGACGGTAAATCGCCAAAATCCTTTCTCTCTTTTCCTTTCTACATTTAGCTTGCTTTCTCCAGATAGGATTCTTCCTATGTCCGTCGGAGTTTGATCCCGAATCGCGATTCATCCTTGAAAAGAAGAATTTCCATCCATAGCCAGGTAAAGAGCTTCGTCTGAATCTGATCTATCAGGCTGGTTCATCGAGAAGCAATGATTTTGGCAATTAGGGAATTAGGGTTTCCAAACGATTGATTGTTTGGAACCAAAAGTCCGGGATATTGTAAGTGTCTTCACGTGCGCACGCAATCTCTGCAAGATTCTTCGTCTTCTCCATCTTTTCGCCAGATCGTTGTCATCGTGAATGGGATCAACGGCCATAAAATTTCCCGGTAAATTTGATTTGGATGCTGGTATATTTCCGAGGAGAGAGCTAGTCAGGACCTGATATAAGGTCAGGGGTCTTTGGTTTTCTTGATGGGGAACACATGCGCAGGACCAAATATCAGCTCTAATGGATTCATACAGTCTGTTACTGCTGCTGTGTGGCGTCCCCGGCGACCAGACGACCGTCTTCCTGCTCCTAACAAGGACGAAGGCAGTAGCAAAAAAGAAGGCTCCAGCAAGAAAGACGTTTCCAAAGGTGAAGATTCTGAAGGATCCAAGAATTCCGATGGTCCAACCCCAAACACCCCACCTGCTACAGTCAAGATGGGGAACGATGGCCAAGGGAAACCAATGGTGCATGAGAAATCGATCAAACCTGAAATGCGAGATGTTCCCATTACTAACAAGCCAGGGGAGGAAGCCAAGCCGAAGAAACCCGCACATGTGAAGAGGTGTTCTAGTGCAGGGCTCCAAGTAGGATCAGTGTTAGGGAGGAAAACAGGAAACTTGAAGGAGATTTATAGTCTGGGGAAAAAGCTAGGGCAAGGCCAGTTTGGCACCACTTTCCTTTGCATTGAGAAAGCAACCGGGAAGGAGTTTGCTTGTAAATCGATTGCGAAGAGGAAGTTGACCACCCAGGAAGATGTGGAGGATGTTAGGAGGGAGATTCAGATTATGCACCACTTGGAAGGGCATCCTAATGTGATCAAGATCATAGAGGCTTACGAGGATGCAGTTGCAGTTCATGTCGTGATGGAGCTTTGTGGAGGTGGGGAGCTCTTTGATAGAATCATTCAGAGAGGGCACTACACGGAGAGAAAGGCAGCGGAGCTTGCTAGGCTGATAGTTGGTGTTGTGGAAGCTTGCCATTCTTTGGGTGTTATGCACAGGGACCTGAAGCCTGAGAACTTTCTGTTTGTTAATCAGAGAGAGGATGCAACGCTTAAGACAATCGACTTTGGGCTCTCCATGTTCTTTCGGCCTGGTGCATACTTCTTGGTTGTCTCTTTTACATACTTACAACAGTTGTGGAACTAATCCTTAATCAGTCTGTGCTTTCCTCTGCGCATTTGAATCTCTTGAAGCCCATCTGAACGAGATTAATTTTCCTTATCGAGGTGCTGGTTTTTATTGTTGTACTAGGTGAAATGTTCACTGATGTTGTTGGGAGCCCCTACTACGTAGCACCTGAGGTGCTGCGTAAGCATTATAGTGCCGAATGTGATGTTTGGAGTGCTGGTGTTATCATATATATCTTGTTGAGTGGAGTCCCACCATTTTGGGATGGTGAGATTCTTTTATTTGTGAACTTCAGCTAATTTTCTAGTTAATGTATTTGGTTGCATCTAACTCCATAGTATCTTTGATTGGTGCTTGGGATCATCAGAAACGGAGCAAGGAATATTTGAACAGGTTTTGAAAGGCGACCTAGATTTTGTTTCCGAACCATGGCCAAACATATCAGAGGGTGCTAAAGACCTAGTTCGAAGGATGCTTGTTAGAGATCCTAAAAAGCGCCTAACAGCCCATGAAGTTCTCTGTGAGCATGCATATTTTCATCTTTACTATGTTTTATATCTCAGTTTTAAAAAATTTGCAGGTTACTGCAAGTCTCACTTTTTGCTCCATTATTCTATTCGTTAATTTTCAGTCGATGAAGATGCAATGCAATTCCTTTGTTGTTGGCTTTGCTGAAATTTAGTATCATCACTTGAATGCCAGAAGCTGCTCGTTGCATTCTTTAATAATCTGTTTGCTTAAAAATATTAACTCACACCTTTAGGAACTGGTATCCTGGAAATATTAAGCTTAATTAAGAGGGGAAAGTAATTGAGCGGTCTTGTGACTGTTATTGTGATTTATATTTGGTGAGCAATAGAAAGAGTCTAAGAAGGTAAACTCAACATGTTTGCTATACATCATTTCTTGTCTTGGGTTAAGAATGCCAATGATATTCTTTTCTCCTTTGATTCTCTGTGTAGGCCACCCTTGGGTACAAGTGGATGGGCTTGCTCCAGATAAGCCTCTTGATTCTGCTGTTATAAGTCGCTTGAAACAGTTCTCAGCCATGAACAAGCTGAAGAAAATTGCTATACGGGTGAGTACTTTGAATCCTCAACCATGGTAGATCATAGTATGGTTTGTATTAGTAGCTTATTCAGGACATCAATTTGAGGCAGAGGCACCTTTTGATCTATAAGTTGACTCCCCAAGAGGGTTGACCCCATTTTACTGTTATGTATTTATCAGTTCATGCTTGAATGTCTTCCTCCACTCTATTGGCCAGTTCTCTATCTTGAGTATTGACTTACGGCATCTGATCGCTCATCAAAAAGGCATTTTACATAAATTCAGGTTATTGCTGAAAGCATGTCTGAAGAGGAAATTGCAGGCTTGAGACAAATGTTCAAAATGATAGATGCGGATAATAGTGGAAATATCACTCTCGAGGAACTAAAGAACGGGTTGGAAAAAGTGGGTGCTAATCTCAAGGAGAGTGAAATTGTCGGGTTGATGCAAGCAGTAAGTTCTGTATTCTTCAATGTGGTTGTTTCTCTCATATTTTATACTCTTGATAATCTGATTAAGCTGTGCAATATCTTGTGAAATGTTACACAGGCTGATATTGATAACAGTGGCACGATTGACTATGGAGAGTTCATAGCTGCAATGATCCACTTGAACAAAATACAGAAGGAAGATCATCTGTTTACAGCATTCTCATACTTTGACAAAGACGGGAGCGGCTACATTACTGCTGACGAGCTCCAACAGGCCTGTGAGCAGTTTGGTTTGGGGGATCTTCATATTATGGACATAATCAATGAAGTTGACCAAGACAATGTAAGCTGTTATTTCAAGGCTCAAGTATGGTTAGTTTAGCAGGAAAACCATACTGTTGACATCTGTTTGGTCTCTGTTCTAGGATGGGCGCATTGACTACAGCGAATTCGTGGCTATGATGCAAGACTCAACATTCAGACCAGCAGGAAAATAATCCAGGCAGACCACCTGTTCCTTTGGCCTGGGTATGGTAAATCACAAACTTAGTCAGTAGCTAATTATGTCTAGTTGAGATTTACTTGTCGTTAGTTTCTAGATTCTGGATTACAACCACAATTGTATGTAAAGATCAGGCAGGTTTCAGTGAGAGGGAAAGATTGGGAGTTCAATTTAGCTTTCCTTTTTTTTTTTTTTTTTTTGTATCTATTACATCGAGTTTAATTATTTATTTATCAATATTTTCCCTTCTTTTGGTCCCCATTAATCAATTGTACCAAACCACGTTGGAAGGCTGGAATTCCTTGAGCTAGAAAGGTTAGGCACAATGAACACATCTTTAGTTATGATTTCTTCCCTGCTCTAAAAAATACTGATGGATCTTGCTTCATTGTTAAAAACTCTATACCGTCGTTCGTTCATATGAAACGTCATTATAGTTTGGATACCTGATGTAACACTTGAGATCCATGGTCGTCGTTTGTTCGTTCATATCATGAAACGTCATTATCATTTGGATGTTTGATGTAACATTTGAGATCCATGGTAGAAGTTCTCATTTCATAATATAATCCTTCTCCTTAAAACTCTACGTATCTTTGTTGTCACCTGCTGTCAAAGTCTAGTTTTCAGATAGAAGCGAAATGATGAGTAAAAATGAAGGCAAAAAGCGATAGTTTTTTTTTTCTTCCCAAAGTCAGTTGGTAAAACGACAGTCACACATGGGAAAAACAAGAAAAGCGCGGGAGTCGACCAATAGTCGAACTCCCGATGAGAGGGCCTTTTGTGCCACATGATGGGCAGCCCTATTGAGTTGACGAGAAACAAAACAGAAGGAAACATTGCTGAAAGAAGAAGCCAAGCTCCTAGCGTCCTCCAAAATAGCACCACCCCGAACATGAAGCACATCACCTCCAAGCATCCGGCGAATCAAGAGTTGAGAGTCCCCATGAAAATGAACAGCAAGAAAGGAATGAGTTAGACACCACTGTAAGGCATCTCGTAAGGCTAAACATTCCATAAGTTTGATAAGAATCTTCTAGTTATAATAAATAAGTAAACTAGCTCATATTTAAAAATTCACTCTTACACAAACCAAATTAATACTCTTAAACTAGCTTTCACCACCTTCTTGCTGCTTTTTTTTTTAAAGGCAGCCAACGAAAAATAATGAATCTAGAAGGTTTGCAGCAAGCTGGTTTTAGAAGCATAGAGGAGAATGGAGGAAAAGCAATGATGAATTAAGCATGAGGAATTTATAGAAGGAAAAACTGAAAGGATAACTCGACTAAAAAAATCCGTATTGTTTTCGTATTTTTGGCCAACAAAACAACCAAAAATTGACGCAATATGGCCCTAAAACCTGAATGCAAGACTCCATAAAAAAGATTTAAAAGCTAGTTTCTAAGCTTTTTGGTGTGGTTGAGCGCTTTTACTTTGACTTTTGGGGCAAATGCTTTTGGAACAAAAACTACAATATTTTGAGGATCCAAAGTGTAAAAGCTAGTGTTTTTGGCTTTAAAAGTCCTCAAGCCTAGCTAAAGCCTTTAGAAGCTAGCTTTTCAACTGTTTTTTAGCCTTTTGATATTTAAGTATTAGGACAGTATTGTAGGGTGTGTAATGATCTGGTTTGAACCAGACCTGACCAGATCAAACATTGAGAATCCTCGTTCAAAAGTAAAAAAGTTAGGACTAAGGATCATGCCAAATATTAATTAAACCCTAAGTATTTATAGAATTCATAGGACCAATGACTGGGCCACATTATATTGAGTTGGGTCGGGTTATGTTTTGTGGGCCAAAAGAGAAAAAAGGGTAAATTGCAAGGTTGGTCACTGGAAGTGCTAAAATATTCACGTTTGGTCACTAAAAGAATTTTATTCCATACGTGGTCACTCAAAAGTAGTTAACATTTCATGATTGGTCACTCTCCGTTAGTTTCTATTAACACTGTTAGTGATTTGCTAACGTGGCAACCAGAAATGCTGATTCATCCAATTTTGACCTGCCATGTCATAAAACTTGACCTGCCACATTATTACCCAACCCAATTCAACTCGTGACCCGACCAAATTTTTTTGAAGGAACCCAATTCTTTAATTCTTGAGATCGAATCTCTTCATCTTGGGTCTCTCGTTTACCAATGCCTCAACTTCCTCCTTCGTGAACTCTGTGCAAATACTCTCCGCAGCATCATTGATGCTTGCATCTGCCGAGCTGGCCGCCGCATCCAGCTTCCTGTTAATGGAACCAAATGGCTTACGGTCGCCGCCTCCAGTCTTCACTGCAGCAGCTCCAACCCTCCGACGCTTGTCTAACGGAACCCCGTCACCATCACCCCGTTTCTACAACAAGTCAATGAATTGAGATTCATTCAATGCTCTCTACGATTAAGAACGCCAAATTCAGAACTAAGGGAAAATTTAACTAGAAATCAGGCACTCACAGTAGCAGGACTCCGAGGCGGCCTGTTCTGGTTCCGAGAAGCCATCATTGGACCGTTCGTCTGGAACTAAACAAAATAACTGAGGAGAACGGTGCTTGTGGAAAGAAACTGCTTCCTCCTCTCTAAGTGTGTTCTTCGGAGAGGGCTCGATTCAATTCAATCCCGTCGATTGAGGCGGCGAGCGGCGGAATGATGGTCGCAATTAGCTACTAGAACGGGAGATCTCAGCTTTTGCTGGCGAAATCTGAATATGTCGACCGTTAGGGTTGCGACGGACGGAGAAGCCGGAGAGAGAGACTGGCGTGGTGAGAGACTGGAGTGCGGAGAAGAAGTTGTCGATGGTTAGGGAGACGGAGATGATAGCAACAACACTTCTGGGAGAGACGAATTACAATTCCCCTTGGCCCTGGGGGTCTCATCTCGAGAAGATGATGAGCAACGCGGATGGAGGTCGGGCGACGGCGAGGAAGAGTTGCGGAGAAGGATGCTTGGGCGACGGAGGGTAGCAGATGACGGCGAGGAGGAAGCGTGTGGCAAACAGAGGAAGAAGAAGAGGAGAAAGGCTAAGAAGAGATGGGGGAGATCGAGGGATGTGTAGAAGAATTAAAGAATTGGGTTCCTTCAATTTTTTTTGGTCGGGTCACGAGTTGAATTGGGTTGGGTAATAATGTGGCAGGTCAAGTTTTATGACATGGCAGGTCAAAATTGGATGAATCAGCATTTCTGGTTGCCACGTCAGCAAACCACTAACGGTGTTAATAGAAACTAATGGAGAGTGACCAATCATGAAACGTTAACTACTTTCAGTTACCATGTATGGAATAAAATTCTTTTAGTGGCCAAACGTAAATATTTTAGCACTTCCAGTGACCAAACTTGCAATTTACCCGAGAAAAAAAATGACACTATTTTATTTTATTTTAGTTGGTTACATTTCATTCTTTCCTTCTAAAATTTCCCATCGCTAATTCACTGCCACTTCTACTTCAATCTCGTTTTTTCCCTCCAAAACTAGCACACGCCAAATACGGAATCCTTCCACCAATGTCCTTCTTTATTCCCGCAGCTCTCACCCCACTCATATGACTACGTTGTTGTCGAAGGTCGTCTCATTCAGCTTCCTATTTACCATCACTTTCACTTATTAGTGAATTTGCCTACAACCCTTAAAGTTTCATCATTTTCTAATTCTCAATTCATATTTTCCCCAGAAGTAGGATGAAGGAAGTGAACATTTCTTTAAAAGTATATGAATTTAGTGGAAATTCCAACAATATCTTGAAATTACTTGATGCTTTTCACCTGCTATAACAGGTTTCACAAGTTGCATTACGTAAATTACAATAGCCATTACGTAAATGTTACGTAATGTGTGTTTATCTTATGTAATAGTTGAAAAATGTCATTATGGAAACCTTATGTAATAGACACTCGTTTTACGTAATGAATATTAATCTTTCGTTACGTAATTTGTTAAATCATAACGGAAGACTTACGTAACGCTTCTAATTTAACTGTTACGTAAGAAATAACTATCGTTCCGTAGCCTTTACGTAATAGATGCATACTTAACATAACAGTTGTAAGTGTCATTACGGAAGCCTTACGTAATGGATAGTCCTTTTACGTAATAAATATTAATCAAGTTACGTAATGTGGTAAGTCATTACGGAAGTCTTAAGTAACACTCAAATTTAACTGTTACGTAAGAAATAACATTCGTTACGTAACCTTTACGTAATGATCGTGTATTTTGTTAGAGAGTGGTATAAGATCCAACAGAACCCTCTCCCAACAACTCGAGTTATTGGGAGCAACTGGTTCTTGACATGGTATCAGAGCCTAGAACCAAAAGCTCATGTGTTCGAATCTCCACGACCCCCAATATTAACCGTTGTCTTTCAAGCACATGGTATGGTGGGCCTGTGCAAACTTCAAGCCCATGGGTTGGCTTTCGTTTGAGGGGGCGTGTTAGAGAGTGGTATAAGATCCAACAGAACCCTCTCCCAACAACTCGAGTTATTGAGAGCAACTGGTTCTTGACATATTTTATGTAACAGTTGTAAAATGTCATTGCGGAAGCCTCATGTAATAGACAATGCTTTTACATAATGAATATTAACATAGCGTTACATAAAATGTTAAGTCGTTACGGAAACCTTCCGTAACGCTTCTAGTTTAACTGTTATGTAATACTAACAAGCATTACGTAATTGTTACGTAATAAACATTAGATTTACGTAATGCAACCTGTAAAATCTGCTATAACAGGTCAAAAAGTTCAAGTTATAGTAACTTCAAAGGATGATAGATGTCCCTAATTTAGTTTATGTGTGTGTGAGTGATCTTTAATTTAATATATGAGTTAGTTCTTATAGTTAGAAAATTTATATAAAACATGTTTAAGTGCTTATTTTTTCTCGTCATTTCGCTTTATACGTACAGAAACTAGACTTTAGTGTATTGGTTGTGGTTGTGGCGACTCTTGACTCAATGACATCGGGAGCATCAGCAGCGTAGATTAGTTCTGGTGAGTAAGTGGATGCCATGTATGTATGGTTTGATGTGGAGCAGGGGAAACGAAGGTAGTCGTCATGCATATGCTGTGATAGCATCAGCCATATCTCCCTCTCAAATATTTTGTCTGCATTTGATTTGAGAAATGGCTCCATCGTCCGATAGGAAGTGAGTCTGCCTCTGCCGTGTTGATGTTTTCTTTTGTTATCTAGTAAAGCTCGGCAGGAATTAGGACACAAGGGAAAGCTACAATACAGAACAAATATTGCTGGGGTTTTTTGAGATGCCATTGCTGGGAGGGTACCTAATTCTCCCCATTTGGTCCAACTTTAGTCCTCTTCTTCTTCTTCTTTATCATCATCATCGTGTAGTGTAGTGAATGGTGATGAGTACTGTGAGGGCACCGTTTTTGTACAGAAATGGCTGTACCCGAAAACATAACAGTGGGACATGCATGGCTGGCCTAAAAGCCTACTTCGTACTCCTACCTCCCTCCCTTCGTCTAGTCTTTTTCTGCGTTTCAATTATATTCTTGGAAACAAAAAAAAGTTATATTCAAACCAACAAGAGTTTGGTCTAGTAATAGTACTACTAATCTTGAATCCGAATATTAATGTTCGGAATTCTTTAGTAGTATTTAATCACAAAAAGTATATCTATTTCCTTCTTACCGAAAAAGCTATATTCAACCCAAAATAGCGACTTGACTTCTCTCATAATTAGGGGTGTGCAACGGTTCGGTCTGGACCAAACTCATGAGAATCATAGTCCATTAATGAAATATATCTTCAGACCAAGTATCGGACCATCATTGCATTTGGTCCATCATTCGGTCCAGTTCGGTCCAAATATCAATTTGGTCCATTATTTCTTTAATAATTGTAAAATTCATGTGGACCAAGTACCATACCGCATTATACTCGATCCGATCTCAAACAGGACCATTGCACACCCCTAATCATAAGCATCACTTTATCACTTATTTTAGTTTCCTTTCTTTTTCCCCGTACAAAGATTAAAAAAGTTAATGCATTATGTCAGAGGTTCCCATAATCTGATGAAGAAAGAACATGCAGATTGCAGAGTACTAGCAGAAAATGAACGGATCAACAAAAGATATAATAAGAAAACTAGAATATACCCATAAAATAGTGGAATGTTTATTTTTTATCCAAACATTTTTCAGATTTTTTTATATTATTCAAACCTATTAAATTGCTATTAATTAGACATATTTTTGGTAATGCAATAAAATATTAGCCATTTTTATGTTATTGTTTGTAACTCTTTTTTTAGTTAAAAATATTAAAATGTTGGAATGTTGGCCATCATGTGTCTCTTCCAAGTCAATATTATGTTGCCAAGTCAATATTCTTAACAAAATTGCTAATTGAAAGTTAACATTTGGCTAATTCTTAGTATTTCGATAGATTTGACTAATAAAAAGAAATTCAAAAAAGATTTGGCCAATAAATAATCATTACCCTAAAATATAACCATGCTATATAATTCAGATTGTTTAAGATTCTGTCTATCTTCACAATTTACTGCAGTTACTTTGTAGGGTTTTCTAGTCAGACAGTACACCTGAATTTCTCAACATTGTATGCACCATACACGATTCGCCTACCTAATTGAAAGAAATATTACCTAAATTTCATTTTAATCGTTAGACATATTAGATTCGATATCGACTCTTATAAAATGAAAAATCTTATTTTTTTCGTTATGGTTGTGACGGATCATATAGAAGACATATAATTAGGTACAAAATAGTGTGGTCATTTTCCATCTAATAATGTCACATGCCATCTTGCCTAACACAGTAACATGGGATTATATAGTAAGGGACAATGGTCACCTTTTCAGAATCAAACGAATTTGATATAGGTTTCATTTTCAAGCTCCTTTTTCAAGTGTGTGGAAACGAAGAGGAGAAAAGGGAAATGTCGGACGGACACTAATTACTAGAGGTGATGGATGATAGAAGTCGGTAATGGTAGGCCATCTCTTCCCACAGCTAACTAGCTAGCCGGCCGACGGCGACCCATTTGTCCAATAATACTCTACTCGACCGATCGATCGCCCATTTCTGTCTCTAGTGTTACAAAAGCTGTGGAGTATAAGAAAGCGTTGCGTGAAGGCCAAAAACTAAGAATTGAAGAGAGCTGGAAAACTAACATGTGGACGAGAAAGAGCAGTGACTAGCTATTTCCGGTATTGAGTTTGATTTTACGTTGCTGAAAAGTTTGATGGAGGATAGACACTTCTCCGACTCCAGTGCCATGCAGACAGCAGATTAGTTAAGTTGTGGCCATATCTGCACTTTTTCATTGTACAGTTGATTGTCTTCTGCATGATACGTGCACGAAAATAGAACAGAACTTGTTGTAGTCGAAACGGCGCCGCTTCACGCCTTTTTATGGGATATAACGTGTACACCATCTGCTGACACAACACCGTCCTCTGATATTTTTTTTTGTCATAGCAATCCTTGCGGATTAACCAGGTAAACGCGAGTGTAGCCACAACCA